ACATCAAAAATATTTTAAAGTAAACAATTTCGTTCATTTTTCCCGTTAGTTTGATTGTGCACACATAAAATGGTTTTTATTGTTTTCGTCCAAATGAAATCGGTTTAAGAAAGTTCTAAGCAAACCAATAAAGTCACACTAATAAAAGTTCACAATTTAAAACACTAAATAAATGGGCAACGAAACTTTAGATTATTCTCATTTACTACATTTCTACATATCGCTTTTCAACTTGTTTAATGGAGTTTAACCAGCACTAAGTTACTAGAACAACAGAAGATCGAAGACTACATGTGGATTAATTAATTTCAAATATCTCGGTTCTACAGGAGGTCAGTTGCGAACTGAGCAGCTCGGTACTAATGTCTCAGACTATGAAGCTGGATGATGCTGGTTTGAACGCCACAGAGGTTGCCAGTCCCCTTAAGGATTCTGGCAAATATAATGACGAGTGCTAACTAGGATGAGACCTAAGCCAAGGGTATCCTACCAACTGACTTCAACCATTAAAAACACAATAGAGCGAAAATAGGTGCATGTATCGTTGCATTAAAACCTATTGACACTGATAATTTTAAAATTCCAGTTGTAAGACTAAGTTATGGTTATTCTTAGATAGAATACCCTTTTTCCAGAGGATATTAGCATTTTCTATCCAGGTTTTCAAACTAATTCACACTTAATGGTACTGAAAAATATTACAGTTGTTGTGGGATTGAAAATTTCAGAGATAAATTATGCGTATCACTTTTGCAGAATACTAGTTTCATCAATATATTTCTTGTCTGTTTTTAATTATTATTGTTTCCCTTAGTCACAATAAATGATAAATCTTAAGACTACAGAATTTATGCAGTAGTAAAATGATAAACAGGAACACAGAAAAACTCACATGTCTGTACTAATAAATATGTCTATCTAGTATTTAGTCAGTTTAAAAATTTGTTTTGGTCTTTCATATGAAAGTCTATACACAAAACTGATACTTCGATTAAACCATTTTTTATAAACATTTGTGAGCTATTGTCTGAATTGTGGCTAATAGTGAAATTTATTTTAGATGAATATTATTGATCTGTGTTAAACATAAATGAAAACAACAGTATTGTCAATGTACTGTATCTATAAATCGAAAAGGTTGAACCTATCTACACAAACCTTCGGTATACGATATGAGATTCTCATGGAGTTTTTGCAGAATACGTTTTATTCGAACTTTACTAATAATGAAATAGAAATGAACCATTGTTTTCTAACCTATACTTGAATTGAAAACAGCTCCCTAACTAATCAAAAATTCGTGCATTTAATAAGACTAAGACCCTTGTATAATTAGTGATGAAATGTTCGGCTATCTGAATGGAATCAGATCAATGAAGTTATTGAAACTTTAGCACAATATTTGAAGTGCTCAATCCACTGAATCAGATCGAAATGGACAAACGGAACATCATTTTAATAAACGAATTGAATAAAACCATCTTACTCAGGAAAAATCTAAAATAAGGTTTGGAACGATAGATCAAATCATTCGTTTACATTACTAAGTTAAAGAACGCCGATGATTTATTCAATGAAGCATAAAAATCTGTATTTAAATTATTCGTAAATAAAAGATCGAATTTGACTTCATTAAGTTATTTATTTTAACCATTTATATTCAAGAACAAACCTTAAAAGAAAAACAACTCATAGTACATGATAGTTTTGGACGGAGGTTAAGGTTTATCGTTATGAAAATAACTATACATTGTATACATAAAGTAAAATAATTCTAATATCTTTGAAACTAATATAAAGTTAAACAGCTAACAAGAAATTTCACCATAAATATATATTACAATAAGTTATTCGGAATCAATATTATCACTTAACTTTGTCATTATGGATTATAACTTTACCAGTGCTTCTGTTAATATTTTTTTCTAAAATCAGATAGTAATATACTTCTATGTCAAACTCAGATAATATTAAAGTTTCACTAACCAAATACCTATTTACATTTTCATTTAAAATCTATAGTTCAACTGATACACAGAACTAATAATTGAAAATATTAAACTTAAGAAGACAGTTCAATAAGTAAAGCTAATGTTATATTAGTACTCAAATTAGTATGTATTACCATTGCTACTATTGTAAATATTAATACAAATATTATTGCTAAGATTACTACTAGTAGAATTATAACAAATGAGTGACATTTTGACTATATTTTTTTAAAAAAAAAGAAACGTATGATAAATTAAGTCATAATTCTAATATTGAAATTTCAAAGTTCAATATACATTGGATTGAACTGAATAAAATACAATATTTCTTAGTATTTTTTTTCTTTCTAACTTGTAACTACATTCACACATTAAAGATAGTTGGTGATTTTTTACTTATGATTTTCGTCAATTGTCCAAAAGTCTAACAATAACAAGAATATATATATATACATATATACATATATAATATGCACGTGAATATGTATGCTAATTTACAGAAGAAAAATAAGCATTTAGCATTCATGATATTCAAAACTTAAAGAGGATAAATCAGAAAAAAAAGTTTTTATGTAACTATCAATTGTTACAATTGTCAGTAAGGGAGTTTGTGGAGATTGCAGTATTTTTAATAGTTGAATTCATGAGTCGATTAAAGCTAGAACACTATGGAAAACCTGGAAGCAGTGGACAGTTGTTTCGTTTTAGTAAGGGACAACGGTGTTACTTTTACTAAGAGATAACTAAAAAGTATACACCAATGTATTTGTAAAGCATTAATTCTTTTTATTCACGTGAATAAATAAAAAAGAAATTGATGTCTGTATTATGCAATGAGTTATGATTATCTAAGTCTGTTCAGTAGGAAATAAATGACATGGTAATCGAGCATCTGTGTAAGCATAAAAAACTTTACAATGAATAGAAATTAGGTATACTAAGAAAGAATGAAAGTCATTAACAAAATTAATTTCGATAGAAACATTAATTAATTAATGAAATTCAATCATTTTGTTTGAGCTACTTAATTTCTAGAAAACAATTCCATCTACAAGGTTTCATGTAGTGATGCTTTATTTTCGTACAGTTTTTTTTACCGATATTTATAAAACACTGTCACTTCAGCTAAAAAAAAACATTTGGACATAAGACACTTCAGTATACAATTACTCTAGGCATCTTTAATAAATTTTTAATAAACGATAATGATTTCATCAAGTTTACCATAATAATGCACTATAGATTATTTTCGAAGAACATTTGTTCATAAATGTATATTCAGAAAAAATTGGTCGGAATTTATCACCCACAGAAAAACGGAAAAATAATAATGGTTTGATCACATTCGACATTTAACTAACCTTTATTATAATGATGACAATAAAATTATCTATGTCAGTAAGCAAAAATCGTAAAAGCTAGATTAAATGTGATATATTGTACATGACTGGATCAAATCTTAAAAATCAACTATTAAGTTAGGTTCACTTGGTATTATTTACTTGAATCTTCCCATTGATGTTGATGTATACTGTGCGTGTTGCAAGTATGCCAATAAGAGACTGATCAATTGCAATCCTAAACATCAATGGGAAGAATCAAATAAACAATACCAAGTGAATTCAAACCTCACTCCATTGAATGATTGAGTGGCTATCAGGACTCAGTAGCTAAGTGGATAACGCGATGGAGTTTGAAGCGAATGGTACTGGGTTCAAGTTCCTGAGTGAACATAAACTCTGAGATGCAGGTACACCCAGCTGACGAGTCGAAACGTGCATCCTGGATTCCAATGTTAACCACTATTCATCTTGGCTTAGAAACTAGTAAGTTAGTTATACATTGGTTTATAATAACATATATATATGTAGTGCATAAGCATACTTCAAAATAAAATTAGCTAGTCTGAATCGATTAGCATGTTACAAACTATCTAAATATTCACAATTCATGTACAGATACAAGTTAAAAATAAATATGCAAGTAACATTCAACCTGATCGATAGACGTGCATAATTATATTTCTACATTGTGGACGAGAGGACAACAGTGACTATAATTTTATGTTTAATGTGTGACATGAATATGTAAATAAACTATTAATATGAACATAAAAATACATGTGTGTATTGCCACACATAAGTGTTCATTACATTACTATAACTAAACTGGAATATGAATTGCATTCGCGAAATGAAAAATGACTCCTCGAAACAGAACTAAAAATAATTTTAATTTAGCTATAAGAAATGAACGATTCATTGGTTTACATTTCTAACAACAATCAAATATGAAAATTACCCAATCTTTCAATCCCATTAGTGAGTAGCTATCTCATACTCAACATATTTGGACTCTTTTAGTTACAGTTCCTCATTAGAACTCTGGGAAGTGACTGGAGTTGGGAATGTAAGCCGGTGAACGACTACTCAGTGGTTTAAACGCTCTCGCAAGACCTGGACATCCTGGGTTCGATCCCCAGTTGGATCGTTGATGTGTACTACTGACGAATTCCATACTAGAATGAAATAGCTATTCAGCGCTTCCTGGTTCCTAATGATTGCCTAACTGAAGCCAGTTCGTATTATCTCTACAAACCCAAATACCAATAACACAGTATTGGTGCAATATGAGCAATACAGTGTTTATCGATGAATGACTGTATTTGTCTTATGATCTAGCCTGTCGTAAAATACAGTATCATAAGGTATTTGCCAGTGATTTTCAGTTTGAAAAGGATGACGAGTACTTTTTATTTAAGCTTAAACAACAATAGTTGAAGCAAAAAAAAGTAAATATTTCCATTTACTCATTGCAAGTAAGTACTAAACTGTTACCAATCGAGATATAAATTGAGCCTAGTAAACAGATCATCAAAAGTTTTTTTGCACAAATATGGCTTCATAGTTTACTAGTATTCCCAAGTTTCAATATAGTTAAACACATATATATATATATATATATATATATATATATATATCAAACGAAATGAGCAATAGCTGAACTCACTGTATTCGGATTCGCCTGATCAACGCTAAAAAGAAAAACATCGAAATGTTTAGCTGAAAGAAAAAAGTAGCAATAAACTAACAGGCAGTATGAAAACTTATTAAACTATACTAGTCAATCATCCAACTTGCTCAATAAAACGCTAATGACTTAATGGCGATATTAAAGTAATTCTCTTAGGCTACCTAATGCCAAAGGGGATCGATCGATTTCAGCCTTTAACGTCAGCAACAGGAAGAATCAAATTTCATTTACAACTTATAATTCACAGTCTTTTTACATGTTAGTAGTTATGTAGAATCGACATCTTATTGAACATTTCGTTGGGTGGTTGAAGCGGTAAGTACTGGTTTTGAACCTCACAGTGGAGACCAACACTAGGATGGAGAAGCATCCAACTGACGAGTCCAAAATCGGACAAAGCGTGCGTACTGAAATCCACTATCAAGCACTATTTAGCTCTGCTTAAAAATACTTATGCGTGGTATTGTTTAAAAATTAGTAGTCGTGGTGAGAATTTCCAGCTTCTTTCATTGTGTTTAGTCTTACTCAACTTTATCTGTTGAAATAGAGAGTGGAGCAGAGATACAGATGAATAGTAAAAATAAGAGAAATCTTGATGATCGAGTTTCCATTGCTTGGTTCTTGAAAATGAAGTCAGAGACAAATTCCAATTATTACTTCAATGAAATAATTTTTAAAGGAATATCATGAACCAGATATGAGCCCTAATAGACTCTACAAAATATATTAATCAACATAACCTTCAGTAGTAAGCAACATAGAATCTGCACATATGAACATCAATTTAAGTTTCCTTAGTACGCTAGCACAACGAGATAAACTTATCAAGACAAATCCGCGATTAGTAGAGGTAGTTACAGTATCAGTAGTAATAAGAAAAATTAGGCCTAAACAATCCCATCGAGGAGAAAAATTTATTTTATGGATCAAAAAGTATAAGCTTATTTTAGAACTCAATATCTGAGGTAAAACAAAGAGGGATTACATTTGAGCAATTATAATCAGTTATGAGTTACGTCGCCCAATGTATTCAAACATTGGTTACGATAACGACACTGATCGAAACCAAGTAATCTGGAATTATCAATACGATCCAGTTCAACAGTCAATGATTTCATGGGTTGATGTCACGTTCTGATTTAGCCACTACAAAACATCGACAGTCAAGGTAAAGGATGAGTTTCAGTATGTTAAATATGAATTTATAAATGATAACGAGGCTGTAATAAATTTAAAACGTACATATCACTTGGTTTTAACTCGGATGAAGTTGACATTGGTTTAATAGTTTCAGATGCTTTTCTTAATTTATTCACTGTTTGAATTAGATCACCATAGTTCTGAGTTGACTTTTCTTTTTCATTTGTAGATGATGATAATTGTTCAGACGATAGTATATTACAATTATCAGGGTTGTTTGTTAATGTTTTCAATGTTTCATTTAATTCATTGTTCAATGTTTCATATTGTTCACTAGTCAATAACTGACCACCTGAATTTAAAGTATCTTTTAAATTTGATAGTTTTTCCATTTGTTCATTATTTAATTCTGTTTGAATTGATGATTCATATAATTTGGGTAGATTTATATCTGATGTTAACTCAGTGTTAGATGGATTTTGTACAATATGTTTTTTTAATTGACTTATTTCTTGATCACGTTCATCTAAAAGTGCCTGAAATGTATGAATTGTTTGTTGAAGAAGTATATCATCTACTTTAGGTTGTGCTCCTGTTGTTTTTAATGGAGGTGGTTGTGATTGAGAAACAGTAACCGGTTTGGTATCGTCCATTGAGTGAAGTACAGCAGTCTGGACATTTATGATCATTAATAAAAGATAGTAAAATTAAACCGATTTTCATAAAAAGGTGTGGTTATCAGAATTTATAACTGGTTAACAATAGTTTACAAGGAAACTGATGAAAGTAAAGTACTACTAAGTAATCCTACACTGTCTACAGAATAAACTCGAGTGGATTTTGTCTATTAGCGTTTACAATTTCACTAAACAATTTACATTCATTCAAATAAAAAAATAAGCTTAATTTAGGATTCTTTCTTACGCGTTTTAACTGGGAGACACTAACAAATTATAACCAAATGGTCAGATAAGAGCGACATTGAACTAACAAGTCATTTCGTCATTGTTATTGTCAAGTAAAAAATAAAACAGTTTCTCAGGTAATCTGACCAGATCTAATTCAATATTTCTCATTGTTATTAAAGGTGCACTACAAATAAAGCGTATGTTATTACAATTATTGAACTAATGCTGACATATTTTATAATGATAACTTAATAATGGTAAATATTTAGGTTACATATCGTATGTTAAGTATTACGTAAACAATTAAATCATGTTTCATTGATCAGTATAAAATGATTACACGCAAAAATAAAGCAGTAAGAAAACTCACTGTATTTTGCTCAGAATGATCTATTTCGAATGATACAGATTCAGTAGATGGATGACAGCTATTTTTTCCTATAAGGTCTTGTACACGGGATTCTAATTTTTCTGAATACAATCTTGATGAATTCAATTTTTCTTCTAAATCTTTGACACGTTCTAATTGTTCAGCTAATTGAGCCTTATAAGAAATAGAAATATAATGATAAAATGAATTAGGGTTAAAAACTTATCTGAAAAATAGAACTCACAAATAAAGTACACCGTCAAATAATGAATAGGAAAATAATGTGACCTGGAACTAGGCGATATCTTTTTTTGTATACACTCGTTTACAAGTGTACACTTATGTATATTGTAAGGAAAGCTTAACACACCTTTATAACAGCGAATAAATAATCAGTAACTTGCATAAAGGGATCTGTATGGATTTTCACGTTAGTCAATATCAACCGTGACGAAATATGAACATATATATATAGCCATTTATATTTTAAGTAGATCACTTGGTAAAGGATTGATTGACGTGAGTTGTGTGTAAAATGACTTCGTGACAAGATATTTTAAGTGAATGCCACATGTGTGATAAGAACATGGCTTAAATATGTATATGATTAACATTTTGAACTGATCTTAGTTACACAACTATTGAAAGCCAGAAAGCACTGAAGGTGTTTCGAACCAGAAGGGGACCCAACAGGAGTGGGCATCTATGACTTCTCAACCCAAAGTCGAACACGGGACCTACAGTCTCGAATTAAACCTCAATATCAGTAAGTCAGTACCTAATAGTTTGCATGTTTAACTACAATCGATTAGTAATATTGAACAATCATTCAACGATGTAAACCAAATAACATGAATTTATTTTATTCCAAAATCAAAATTTCCATTGTAATTTAACAAATATATAGAAGTCAAATAGGTTAGAACTTGGTACAAAAGCACATCAGTATGATGCATTACACATGGAAACAAAGCTGAAAAGCTTGGATAGAACTTAGCAAACATGTTTAAGGTTTCAAAATGTACTAGAACTATAACTGATATTGTAGCAAAAGATCACAAGACTGAACTTAAGTGGTTACATAAAAACAAATTAAATGAATTCATGTTATCCAGTGTACATGGTCGTCCGTGGTCTTCTCATTATTATAGCGTTAGAAAACATAATATTAGAGAGAGAAATATTTGATTTTCATAGTCACTTATCCTAGCGTAGTTTGGCACATTTTACTCCCTCAGTCTCATGAAAATGACCAAAATAACACTGCAATTTGTAGATAATGCAAACCGTATAGTACTTGGAGAACCAAAGCGTTACATTTAATGTGCGATAAAATGAATACAGTGTCTTGGTGTAAACTGTTATTCAGGCTATTCCAGTCCCACTTGATATCCTAAAATACGGCGACTACATTCCACCTTTAAAATCCAAAGAATTTTAGTAAGACAGGTACAAGTCTGTACCTACAACCACTCATTAGAAATAATCGTAAGGTTTTCGCGTCTGGGAGGTTGTGCGAGCACTAACAGTGTTGTTGCAGGTGACAACAAACTGTAGTGTGAGGTAGAGAAATCAAAGACAACGGATTATCTTTGACTCCATGATATTAGATTTAAAAGGCGTTGCTGGATAGAGATTAGCTCCATAACCATGAAACAGAGCCTCCTGAAGCTAAAGATATAAGGTGATCCAATATAAATAACTTAAAGTGCGTTGAACCAGCAGTTAACAGCTAATCAGCAAACAGTAGAAAACAGTCAACGAAACACGAAGGTGATCAGCGTATTCAACTTTCATCTTAGTAAGAATTATCATCCACTTGTGGAATCTCGCTTACTAATGCTATCACATTACACAACCTTAGTAGTTGAGATATTCGACCATATTATAATACCACACATGTGAAACACACCACAAAAAATTAAAATCAACTGACTCAACCACTTAATCAAAGTGTAATTCACATATCCATAACATCAGTTAGGGATGGATCCATGGTTATCAAGAAGGAAAACAAAAGCCATTTTGTCATTACATCATAACTGTTAAGGTGTGGGAAACGAAGTGTAAGTAGACACATTCTCTATATTTTTTGGATGGAATTGAACAGAGAGAGAGAGAGAGAGAACTTTCCAAGTTTGACAACACCATTTAGAGATTATTCACTTCATGTGTTGCGATGCGAACTGTCATATGAAGCAGTTGGATTTACTCATGATCAAATGGTAGAGTTGGCTCTTGAATATTTCTCATCCAACTGTATATCTATGTGTGCGAAAGCACTTCCTTTTGTTTGATATTTATCATGGTTTTCATGTGAATACTCGAGGATACTTTTTAGCTCGCTCACAAATGTTTAGTTACATTGTGGTTTTGAGAATGAATGAGAAATACATATCGATAGCTTTAAATCAATGGATTTCAGCTGTAACCGAAAATCACATTGAAACAACAGATATAAGCGAATATTACTGCTCTTAATTAGATTCTCATCAGGCTTTACTGTAATATGCACTGACTCATAATACGCTTTCACTGGTTTAATAGTTTTGAACGTGCGTAAATATTATTGTATATTAGAGTAGAGCATTTTGAGAATCTAATTGAAAACAATGTTGTTTTAAACCACAATATGGAAACTTCTAATGTTTCAAAATTAAATTGTTGTCTATTAATATAGTCAGATGTACAGGAAAGATATAGGTGTATTTCATTTCTTTTAATTAGTACATGAATTGATGACAAGTAGTAATGAGACAATGTAGTCATTACTCATGGCAATCGACCGAGTATACATATAGTGAACTGACTGAGAAATAAATTTTTCATCTTATGCTTCTGTTAAAATATGTTGTAACTTGCCTAAACAATGTATGATTCAAGTTAAAACGGAAGTATAAATATTATTCACTTATTTTGTTACAACCTATTTACTAAAGCACAATATGAATACGTTTTAGCGTTTTGTTTTTTGAGTTCAGAAAGTTACGTTTTTTTTATGTGTTGCTAATGTACTACAGATGAAGTAGCTACAAATTATAATTTCTTGACAAAATCAACATCTCGTATTTTAGGTCATTTGAATCAATTAACTTTGGTAATCATTTCAGAATCATGTACCAATTTTAAAAATGTACCTTATTGACTGAGTTGTTCGCTTAGGTGCAACGTCATTCAAAATTTATACAACAGTAAATATGATTTCAGACATTAATAAGCAAAGTAATAATAAGTCGAATTGGCGTCTTTCATAATATTATGAGAAAATGAAACGTTTTCTAAGCAGTGGTTTCCGATCCAAGTGTTTTTTTCTAAAAAGTAAACTTTAATCTGATTTCATCTTCAAATAGTCATTAGTGCCTTAGCGTTTTACAATCAAGTATATGTAATTTTAAAATTATATTATTCCGCTAAAGAACACGTTATTCAGTTATATTTCTTGGTTTTAAACAATGTTGATATGTGAGAAAATAAGAAGCATAAACCATACAAATAAATTCAAGTAACTAGGTAATATCTTTTCTAATATTATATATTAATCCGATAATGATTGAACAGTCTGTTAAATCAAAAAACTTGTTCAGTACTATGTTTTCTAAAACAAGTGACATTTTATTAACCTATTTGTATGTTTTATTGAGTATTTAAATTGTTGCAATCTTAAACACTAATGAGAAGATTCAAATAACCAGTACAAAGATGAATTAAAAGGTAACATTTATTTATACTCATTATTTGACTAATATAACTAACATATCAAGTATATCGATGGAGTTTGTAAGACCATTGTTGTAATTCGTTTTCATTTTAATCACTGTATTCTATTTCATTTCTTATTTCGATTTAACAACTCTGAACTCATGATTTAATAGACAATCACTTATATAGTGTTCACTTTTATTAAGTCGAAATCGGCATCCAATAACAAACCTAATTTCCTCACGAAGACTTGTTTTGACTAAAGTTCATGGTTATTTCTGAAAAATTAGTAAATTAGCCTACATTACACTTATGTGGGAACCAATGTTCTTTGATAATGAAAACCACAGAAAACTTTTACGGTCAACAGAGTGAAGTAATAAATACATGTATTTGTGGAAATGTTCATATCACACTGGTCACTATTTTCACTGCTTAATTACAAATCAGCTACCTACCTATTTACACCTAATTGAACGAACCTGGGATCAAGCGAATTGCTATGGCCTGGTCTTTTCTACACAAGGCTTGACAGAATTAGTAGAGTCAAGGCTGACCGTATGCATATACACTCAGCATTGTGCTCCCAATGTTCTTAACCCTAACCTCAACTACTGAGTTAAAAAACCCAGCCTGTAAAGAGTATATGTAAATATTTTTGGGGAAATTTTATTCTCAGGGATTATTAATTACATTGAAATAATTATAAAACAAATCAACAGTGTCACCTATAACATTAAACGGAAATTTAGGATTATATTCATTTGTTTTTCCGTATGACTAGAAGAAGCAATACCTCCAATCTGTGCTGTTCAGAAATAATATCTAGGTCATTAGAAGGGGCAATATGGCTTCTTGAAAGGTAAAACGCTTTGGCAGAAAACCTTTAGATACTAACGGATCTCTTGCTCAAAAAATTCTCTGTTTCGTACAAAAACTAACACCGCCTATCTCACATTGAAAAAAGTTATTGAATGAATCACGACAGCTATAGTTAATTAAGATAGCCAAGTAATTAATTTTTACCTTTTTAACCATGTATATATATACTCTCGCCGTAACCATAACTACAAATTCCATTACTACCTATCATACACTCATCAAGACAATGGGAATACACCCATATCTTTCCTATACATCTAATTATATTGATGAGCAACAATATGATTTTAGGCTACCGATACGTATTTCTCATTCATTCTCAAAACCACAATGTAACTAAACATTTGTGAGCGAGCTAAAAAGTATCCTCGAGTATTCACATGAAAACCATGATAAATATCAAACAAAAGGAAGTGCTTTCGCACACATAGATATACAGTTGGATGAGAAATATTCAAGAGCCAACTCTACCATTTGATCATGAGTAAATCCAACTGCTTCATATGACAGTTCGCATCGCAACACATGAAGTGAATAATCTCTAAATGGTGTTGTCAAACTTGGAAAGTTCTCTCTCTCTCTCTCTCTGTTCAATTCCATCCAAAAAATATAGAGAATGTGTCTACTTACACTTCGTTTCCCACACCTTAACAGTTATGATGTAATGACAAACTGGCTTTTGTTTTCCTTCTTGATAACCATGGATCCATCCCTAACTGATGTTATGGATATGTGAATTACACTTTGATTAAGTGGTTGAGTCAGTTGATTTTAATTTTTTGTGGTGTGTTTCACATGTGTGGTATTATAATATGGTCGAATATCTCAACTACTAAGGTTGTGTAATGTGATAGCATTAGTAAGCGAGATTCCACAAGTGGATGATAATTCTTACTAAGATGAAAGTTGAATACGCTGATCACCTTCGTGTTTCGTTGACTGTTCTCTACTGTTTGCTGATTAGCTGTTAACTGCTGGTTCTTTTATTTGCTAACCGTTTAAAAGTATGTGTATTTCATTACGGTTTTAAGTGGTTTTAAATCGTAGTTTGTTTATAAATAAATCTTTCATCGTTCATTACATATTAAGTTACTTTTTAGTCTTGTCCCACTGAATAATTATTAAATAGCTGTTATTCCCCAGCTAAAACCAACGGTCGTCTCAGTAGCTTTAATCAGCAATTTTGCAAGACTATGCCACTTTGTGAATCGGCTGACACTTGGCAAAACAAATAAGACAGTATGGTCAGTGTTGCTGAGGTTGAAAACTACTTACTAGTTGTCAAATACAAGCATTTAGGTGTACACACACGATTATACTTTATTAGAATCATCCTCATTAACAGTATTGTGCACGAAACAAAATGACCAGATAGGAAATTGATTTTGATACCTATATATATAATTAGGAATTAACAACATATGAAACAACTAGACTAATTGATTTCAGCTTTCGGACAGAAGAAATTTGTATTAAGTTTCCATCATTTTTCATTACTTCCATGATCGTTTGATGTAGTAACGCACACAAATCTGACAATTTAAATTAAATCACTAAAAATTGTCAGATACAGGTAGTTGTAAACAACTGTCTACACAAGATACGTAATGACCGTCGACCGGATAGCATCAGCAGCAGCCTACTGTGCGAGTGGACAAACTAACTTCCATATGAAGAGAAAACTAGGAAAATACTCCGAAGGTAGATAGAAACTCATTTATGAAATCATCAAACTGCACCACGAGGCAAGCTCTAACTTGGAATCTTCAAGTTTAAAGAGAAAAACAAACAAACCGTAGAACACATTATATTAGGAATTGGAAGCAGACATCAAAAGAATGAATAGCAACTTGGGAATAACTGGAAAGAAGAGTCCCGGAGAGAGTGCGTTCGAGATCGGTGGCATATGCATCATGAAATGTAACAGGCGTAAGTAAAAAAATTTTCATAAACACATTACTCCTTAAAAAATTCTATCTGTCAACTGGATTATGAATTACTTTCCTTCAAGTTAATTAAACTGAACTACGTTATTATCAGATCAAAGCAGTAAGTTTTATTATCACGTAAGCTTTGATCTTTAAGATTTATGCAAAAGCCTGAGTAATTGTTAACAGATAAAACCACTCTCATCCTTTAAATCTGCATGAATAAATGAATGTTCGATGGGGTAATCCCAAAAGTAGATAATGTATATAAAATTTTCTTTTGGTAGACGAAATATCGATACCATAAAATATTATGCAACTAGTGTTACTATCATTATCGTGGATACGAAATATATGGATATGAAATATATCACTTTTACATAACGGTTATAAATGTTACACATGATTTATACTTCATTAGTGACATCAAAAGTGTGGTGCAGATATGACCACACAGTCTTAAAATAGTGGTTTCCCAAGTAAACATGATAAAAACTCAATGCAGATTTTTTCCTTATTAAGTTACGATCTATGTATAAGAGATGAAATACTTTCAATTTGAAAATAGAATAATTAACCATACACAAAAAGTAAAGTTTTCAAAAGTAATAAATTAAAAAACTAACTTTAAGTAGTTTAACATCAGCAGCTATCGGTTTATCACTTTCAGCTAGTGAATTTTCAGCATCATCAACATGAGATAATTGATCACGTAATTCAATATTATCACGGCGTAATTCTTTAATTAAATTATCCATATGAATGTGTTTAGCAACAGCAGCTGCTGTTTCAGCTTTTTGATTGGATAAATCGCTTCTCAGTAGACTTAATTGTTCTTTTAGTTGACATATCAACTGATGGCTATCGGAACTTTCCTAGATTAGAATAAAAGTGTGATAAGTAAAATGTTACATTTGATAGGCTTGTAATTTTTCTTAATTACTAATTAACTTACAAATAAAGTGTTTATAGTTGAATAAGTAAATGTAATAAATGTAGAAAACGACTATAAGCCGTAAAAATATGATAAATGTGAGTGTTTATTTACATCACATAGAAATCTGGATTAGAATCTTTTAAATTAGCTTTCATAAATTAAGTATTTAGTCGATTAATTGATGAACTCCACTACTTTATAGAATCAAATATCCCTAAATGATTTGTTGGTTGACCGACAAGGAAAAAAATAACAGAAGAAAAGTAGGTTTTACTCAAGCAATGGAGATTTAAAAAATTCTGACTGTCAGTATTGATTGGAGAAAATATCTAAGAAAACAGTTTATTGTAGACAGGTTTATTAACTAATGAAATTGAATATTCATTCAGTTTCACTGTAATTTATCTGAGCGCTTAACCGAAAACTGAACAGCCTTTTAGTTTTCAGAAGAAAGAACTAACTTATTGTCTTTCAACTCAAGATGGGTGGTAATATTCTTCTTTATTCTTAGCGATGATAATAGTTTGAACAAGGTGTATGCTTCCTATAAAATAGATGTTACTGAAATATATGACTAAATTTTGAAAGGTTTTCGAAGACCAGAATAAAATTAGAACACCGACTACAACAACTTTCAAAAAACGAATTTCTGAAGAAAAACGAATGTGTATGATAATAGAATGACAAGTTAGCACTAAAATATTAGGATACGATTTATTTCTAATAGAAAAAAACGATAAGATCTTTGCAAAGTCTTAAATCATGAAGTGTACAGTAAACTTGTTATGAACTATAAGACTGATGAATTCAAAGGGTGATAGCTTAACTGTCGAAGACTTCTTCAAAGTATAATTTATCTTAGGTGGAAGAGGACAGTGGTTATTAAACATTCTATATGAAACGCATAATAGAAGATATCAGATTTGTAATGATGAACGGTATAGCTGTACGGAAAAAGACAGTATAGGAATATTTTCCTACAAAAATTATTTTTTGCATAATCAATGATAATAGTTTTTTGGAAGTAGTGACCAGAATCAAAATATTTTAGTAAAACAACTTTCGCAAAAAATGAGTTGTGATTAGCCGTTTCCTTTCACTTTGTTGCAGTTTATAACGCTTTGAGTCTTTAGGTTAACATGTTCCTTCTCACTGAATTTAATAGGAGTTTATTGTTTAATAATCTCTCAATAGTTACTCTTAAATTGACTGCAGTTAGAAATGTAAACCACGGGAAGCCAGCTCAGTGGTCTAAATGTTAAAAGATCACTGAGAGACTGGGATACGCTCAATACTACGACGAAACAACTAGCCAATGCTTCCCGGTTTTCGGTGATTGTTTAATTGTGGTCAGTCTGTGATGTAAACAACAAAGTGTTCCAGAAACGTTTGATTTTTTCTAGTAAGAACTGCATTAATAGCTCATCGTTTTCTCAGAGTACACTGCAACTACCAACAAAGCAATGTCAAACTACTGAACGTTCAAGAATTTTAAGATGTACATTGTGAAATAAACTAGCAGTATAAACATTTGCAAGGAATATTGATTAAGTAGGGATGTGTATTTATTCCACCCTTAATTTGTGGTTATTATAGTAAATTTCTATTGATTTTTATGAACTTTATCTTGATTATTATAGACTATAGAATGAAAACCTCGCCTTTTTGATCAATATCGCTACGTTTAATACTTTATTTTTAAGCTTACGTTTGTACATACTTAAAGGGTGCGTTACAATTCACTTTAAAAAAGTCAAGAACTCCAGATTAACATTTTACTTATTACTTGTACTATGATAAAACTAAAAAGTTAATCATTTAGTGTAATATGGATTAGCATCATATATAATCACATGTTACCGTCGAGTCCTATATTTCTCTATTTAACCTGGGATTGAATGTAAACAAATAAATTGCGGTAACTAACCTCGGTTTGAGTTCCCTCATGTAAAGTTGGGGGAATTTTTCTCAATTCTTCCTCAATCTTTAGAAAAAAACAAAGAATAAAGTAACAATAAGCAAATACGGAGGTCACATATGGATGGATACTATTAGAAAAATATATAACTGAATATATAAAGATAAGAAGGCTTAACACACCATAGCTTTCTGATTCTCAACTTCGACAATTTGGAAATCCAGTAATTCCAGTTGTTCTTTCATTTCTACTTTGGTTACCTCCAGTCTTTCAATTTTCTTTGCTGATTCAAATAACTAGTATTAAATAATTAATATAGTTGTACAAATATTTACTAACCTGGTTTAGTAATTTCTTGTTTTGACGAATCAAATACCTTCTTTCCTCAGCTTCGCGAGGATCCTTTCGAAAGGGAACATGAGAGAGAAATAAAGAACATAAGTTTCTTTTAACTATTTACAAGAAAATTAATATTAAAATAATATCACAGAAAAATACGTTGAAAGAGTTGCACTTTACGCGGAAAATTCCCTACACCTATAATGTCGTGAATAGGGTCAATAAGAAAACATAAAAATGATCGATAAAATTTGGCTAAAGATATTCGATTATCTGAATCGAAAAGACATTAATTGCATTAAAACCAATGGATGTCATCTGAATAAAAACATGTCAAAAAATTGAAATAGATCAAGATGTGAAGAATAATTACCAACATCATGAATAGAGAACTACATGGGCAAATAACAAATTCTATGCAAAACACCTGCAAATTAACTCACTGTATGAATAATCTCAGGTCAAATCTCAACTGAACTCTAGTTAATGTGATTGACAGGTACCGCCATTTATTAATATTTCCAGTTCCTTATAGGCGACTAGCAAATCACTCAGAGGTTACTTACGTTGTTTTTCAAAGCTAAACTAATTGTGTTCTATTGGTTAGAGAATAAATTCTTATTTAATTCAGAATCAGTGAAAATTACAGTTAGACTTGTAGTTCACTTGAGTACTATTCCATAAAAATATGTCACATAGAAAACATAAAGCAGTTTCAATTGTAATTAGGTCAATATTAGGTTATTTGGCTATTCGTGTCAAGTGAATATTGATAGAAAAGAACACAAAAGTAAATACAGATGACAAAATGGGTAGTTAAGATGAATATATTATGAAAGGTAGAAGACTGAATCAATATGATGAAAACAAACTGTGACCAATTGTAATTTTCGGGCATTTCATTAAATAAAATCTAAAATGAAATGCTTTCTGAGTGTGTTTTTATTTTGTTTTACTTCCTATGGACAAGATTTGTTAATGAAATGAATACGTTTGACATATTTAAAGATCGTAAATGCTATGGGTCTGTTTGTTAGTATGTACATATGACAATTTCCATAGTAAACTGTTACAAAGTTAAGAGCAAAATTAATGAGTAAAATAATAAATATAATAAAGTCAGAAAAACATTTAAATTGAGCCAGGTTTTTCAAATGTTAATTTTGTGTTCTAATAAATCAGCCTAGAGATTCAAAACAGTTTGTAAGAAGAGTTACAAGTTTATTTAGTTAGATAGGACATTCAAAGCTTACAACTTACAACTAAAAGTTTCTATTCAGTCCTAAACATTATTATTCACAAAATATTAGTCTTACAAAGCATATTATTCCTGTCAGACTGATTAGTTCGAAGATATGAAGTAAAGATGCTAAGTACTAACATGATTGGTACATCATAAACAAATTATATTCAACAACTGTTTATGGCTGTTTTAATCTTCACCGATGAACTGGTACAAGGAATTAGGATTATTTTAGTTTTATAGTAACGGGCTATATGTTTAACTACTTGAAGTAGAGCTGTTTCTAGAAACCACCAAGTATATTTCATGTTACTACTAAAAACTGTACTGTCGTTTTCCTAGAATATTAACTTGGGATCTGTCACGCTCGTAATGAAGTCTCCATGGAAGTCACAATGTAAGAGATGGAAATCTTTAAGTCTGACATAAACATTAGGATCTTTGTAGAGAAAAACTAGATCTACACTTATCAAAACGCTAATAAAAATTAATCTGAAAATATGTGACCGTACACTCAGTCAATTATAACTAAATGTCTGGCGATTCATTACAATCAGAGGATGGAACGTTTTCCACTAATCGGTGTCAATGCATAAATAATGACTACTTCTGAATATAATTAACATAAAAAGAAGCTGAGTTCACTTAGCTCCAGGTTTGTGTTATTTTGTTGATACCCTAAACAATGTTCTAAAACCTACTCTTGTGTAGGATATTTATGATGTAATAATATGTTTTTAACATTTATGTAATCTTTGTAACTGCATTTAATTATTTATTAGACCATTCCGATACATGCATACATCAGCTTGCGTTTGTATATTACATTTCATTTACAATTTTCGTTACTGAAATACCTTGGGTTGTAAACAAATGATGAAAACCTGACGAAATGAAGTAAAATAATAATAGTATTCTGTTTAAAATTTTGTTCCCACTACTATAAAACTAATAATCTATGTTTAGTTTTGTCCTAGATCAATGATCTAACATGCTGAACATGACTTCAGACTATCCAGAGACGGATATTGAGGGTAATGTATACGAAAAAAACTGTTATGATAATTATTATTAACTGATTGTCCACTTTGGAAACTTCCTATCGTTACTAAATAAACAATTAACAGTGTAAAGAACTCCCAACACAGTATTTAATTAATCTAAAAGAGATCATTTGTGGGATTTTCAGTAGTCAAGTTTTCAGACTATGTAGTATCGTATGGTCGATGACTTTACTACAGTTGTGAAAGAACTAGTAAGTATATTTATGACCTGTAGCAATGGTTCAAAACGTAGTTTTGCTTGACCTTGAGTATATTTCTTTAGTGTACATTTATTGACTTACCACTGGATATTAAAGTTCTTACATTTGACTATTATGACTCTTTTACATCCACTCATTTTTTCGTTGACTGTTATATTTTTTTGATGTAATAAACTAAAGCATTACTGTACCAAATATCATGTTGATTTATTTGATTGCTTAGCCTGATTAACTAATTTACCTTTTGGTGATTTGGTATAGATGAAGTTAGAAAAGGTGACCAGTGAAATAAATCTCTGGAAACTATTTTCACTATATTATGATGCTCAATTTGGTAATTCAAAAATTTATCTCTGATCGGTCAGACACAATCTCACATTAAAATAAAGACAGTGATATTAAGTAAATTTACTTATTCACAGATCTTGACAGAGAAATTTGCATAAACTACATTATACATTTAGAATAAATAAATAAACTTAGACGTTTATTGATATTAGTGGTAAACAAAAAGCATCTAACTAAGTTATTTGTTTTATGCAGTTATGCACACTTCAGCTGGATTTTTTGCTTACATAACAATCATTGGAATGAATGATAATAATATGATGGGACCCTATAGACATTCTAGTTTATCTGTTCTTTCTATTCAAACCTTAGGTAAAAATTACTAGATAAACCAACGTTGTCATATGAAACTACTAAATATGCTTATGCAGTAAGAAAATTTACACTAATGTAAACCGATAATACTTGTAGGTAATGATCAGGAGTGGCGATTAGCGATAGTAAAAAGGGGAAAAAAGTATCAGAAATACAGAAAAGTGGGAAATTACTTGAATGCAGCTAAAAGACAAAATTTAAAAGATATTGAAGCTGCTGAAAAAGGTAGGACAATTATCAGCTTTCAAAACAAATAGCTGAATGAATTAGTGAGAGACTTTAGGAAAGCGTTTGATCGGATTCCGGTTGACCACGGCCTACCGGTAGTTTGGTTGGTAGGAAATACTGTGAACTTTTTTGGAACAGCGAATGCGAAAACTAACCTTTGAAAAGAGACAGAAACAAGTCCTAACGGGTTTATTTCAAATATTCAAAAATATCGATCCAACAGTATCAGAGAACCTATCGTAATTTTGTTTAACCGCTTTCTATTGTGGATAACCCTGACTTTTACAAAATGGGGGGAAATTTCCTTCTGATAATTACATAGAAGTGTGAGTATTATTAATTCTAACGTTTTAGCTTCCACAATCATAAGTGTAACTCAGAAACAGGAAATTCAAGAAGTTGAGTAGTGAATGAATTAGTTAAGTCTATTTATTTTCAGGTTTCGAAGCATTGGTATGCTTACAATGTCCAAGTTGTACTCCTTGGTCTGAGAGTAACATTAAATGCAGTTGACTGCGAAATCTTATTACAGTGTTAACCCTAGAAGGACATGTCAAAAAATAGAATTGATTTATCCCAGAATACTGCTAGTTTGGTCACATCTTAGGACTGACGGGCAACTGAGTTGACTACTTCATGTGTAATTCGTTAGGGATCCCTTTATTTCTATTAATTCAGGTGTCCTGTGTATGCTTTAAATACAATTAATTCATCACTTAATATTTAACGGATCGATCTTCTGTCCGGAGTATCTCACACTGGATGACAGTATTCGGACCCTGACAAAATACAAAGTTTGGACATCTTGAGTAACAATCAAAATTTTTACTTAGAACCTGCAGTGCATCAAGTCATAATCTGGCAATACAAATTGAATAAATTAAATGTGTTTTCTACTCTGAGCATCCTAAGATGGCTGTTTTCCGACTGCTCATATCTTGGGATGTAAACAAACATTCACACAGCTTTCAACAACTTGGACCACCTCCTGCAGAAGATAGATTCCAGTTTGGCTATAAGTGGGTGAGTATACTAAGTTAACTTGAGCTAGTGAAAAATAGTCTATGACGGTTAAAGACATGTGTAGGTTGCAAGAACTTCGCCATAAGTTTCTGAATTCCAATTATCGAACAATTTAAGAAATGTGGTAGATTTAAAAATAGACTTACGGCGGGTTTTAACATCGGATGAGATGTTGACTTAGTAATTCAAGAAAAATGATGGTCTCAAAGGTCGTTGAAGTTCCAAAACTTTCTATATTTTATTCCAGTTAATTCTAGTTAATGTTGATAAAATATCTTAATGAAACGAAATAAATTACCTGACTGAAAATCTAGACCTTTTACAGTAATTTCTAAACGAAAAATAATTAAGGATATTGAGTTTTTCTTTCTTTCTTTTTTAAAACTGTATTCATATTTATACGAATATTCGTCAAGATTAGAACGAATAGTTTGACAGAAAATGGGCGCCGAGTATAGAGAAGTCATTATATGTTTATTGTTTACAAAGAAAATTAATATATCTACATAGACATTTGCAGATAAGAGAACTGAGTAAACCAATTCAGAGATATTACTTTTAAATTGTATCAACATTCATTGTAATAGACCTGGTCGGTACTTTTTCCGAAGAATTTATTTATCTAACTAAAGTTAGCTGGTAATTCGATTAAATTTTGATACTTCTCATGGCTATAAAGATAGGAAATATGATGAGATGAAGCTAATGAAAATAACACCTTATTTTTAGCCAGATGATTTCGTGTATCAATAACATTACTGAAAAAAATGATTCAACATAACCATTATATTAAATTTCATTATGAGTAATGAAAACGGTACTACACAAGCTAAATATATCTTAACTCGTTCATAATAACTGAGACAAATGTGTTTATATATTCACGCCTTAAAACATTAGGTTGTAAGAAAAGTTTGAATATTATTTAAGATAAAGATTCCTATTTTAGACATTATAAATACTGAAAAATATTATTACATTTATAAAACACAATATAAACATAAATTAAATGCAATTTTCTCAACTTACAATTTTTCGTCGCTTGAAGAAAAACAGAAAATCACAAAACAGATCAGTTAAATTTGTTAGATACTTGATGAACAACGTTTACAATAACAGTATAAACACTGATCAAATAGGAAACTGAGTACTTATGAGAAACTAAAACACATCATCCTTATTATTTGAACGTTTAAAACATTTTTGTTTTGCTAGGGCAATCAGTATTTTGATTTACTTGCAAGATCCTACACCATTCATCTGAAATTTTGCGCTATCACCCTACATGAAATGTATATCAGTACGTTTGAACAATATTGCCGCTAGAAAAATTTAGTTTTTGTCGAACACTAAGGAGAATCAGATAACGAATAACAAAAGCATTGTATTTTTGGAGAACGTAACCCCAAATTGTTAACTGTCATTTGAGATCCATATCTCAAAGAAAATGAGTGACCCGTCTCTATCTCTAATCGTCTATCGGATTCGTTTCAAAAATTACTATTAGAATAAAACGAAAACCCATAATTCATGAAATATTTAGTATTAGTAAGAACTATGGTATACTGAAAGTTTTTATCAGATTCTTTGTAAATCCTATACGCTTTTAAAATACTGTGGGTATAACTTAATCAATTTCCTGAATACATTGAGAAGTATCGCTTCAAATTATAGTTTTACAATTCCTAACATTAGACAAAAAGAGCATATGTTAATAGAACCCAAATTTAGGATAATTACACTTGACCACTTCCGAAAGAAAATTTATTTCATCATCGAAGAACTTGTTGACGATACTGATGTCCAGTTCGAGCTTATAAAGATAATTCCTCATTTTATCAATAAAAAGAAAGTGATATTATTTATAATTTGGCCTGCATTAAATGAGTCCATCAATCTACATCAGTTTCCTACAAATAGGAAAGAAGTACTTCAGATGCAGCAGTGCTCATTTCACGCTTAGTGATTTATCTTTTTGATACATGTTTCTAGACTATATTTTTGATCCTGTGTTATCAGAAAAGTTTGCTTGTATCAAAATCAATAGCAGAAAAATCAACTGGTCTTGTTTTTATTTTTCTTTAAAGGGTAGTATACCATTAATGAAGGAAAATATTCCATTGTTTTATTAACTAAAGTTGATGTGCTTCAAATAGCTGTTGTTTTCCTTCCCTCTTTCTCTTTTTAATTGTACGATACCCCATCATCTACAAACGACACTTTGATAGGTATGTGTATAAACTGACTATAGTATGTATACCAGCCTTTTCCTCTTTCAATTACTTTGAAGTGAATGAATTCTTGAAGTATACTGAATACAAGTCTATTTGGAATGGCCTTGCACTTAATCTTTTTAGATGCCAAACTACTGATTTTAGTCTACAATATAGTAAGGACCTGAACGTCCTGCCAGAATCGTGTGACTTTTATATTATTACATATTCTGTTATAAAAACCTATGCTAATTATCACTAATCTAGGCTTAAGCTTCGCTTGTAATCTCTCTTCTGATTTTCCCGTACTTTGTTAATATTAAAGAACGTTCTTAGTTTAACCTATTATTGAAGGTTGTGTTTTCGTCATAACGCAACGACCGTCTTCATGATTTATTAATTCTTGTAGACTGTCCATTATACTTTACTGTTTCTCATTGCCTTTCCTAAACTTCTGAAAAGTGATTACGCTGTTTTAACTAAAGCACTGAGAGCTATTATTAAAGTCAATGGTGGATTGTTTGACGCTATTATGAATGTAGCTGCAGATAGACAAATGAAATCTTGAAAAAAAACTGACAAGATTTATTCCATCATATGCAAACCATCCACTGTATTTGTATCATTTCCCCTGTATATCTTCTAGTGTAAAAGTATGAAGGCTATACAATACCGTATTTAGGACATATATTGTACAATAAAAAATGCAACAGTTAATCTAATGAGAAACATATGCTTTTTAACGTCCATATATATCATTCAGTACAGTAAAGATTGTTCTTTTGTACAAAATTCCCACTTAGTTCTACATATTTCTGTTCATTTATTTAAGGCGTATCTCTTTATAAATTATATAAAGAATAGGAGGAATTCGTCAGAATATTTCATGCTAAAAAGTCTATATTGTATTAAACACAAAAGATTGAATAAATCAATTAATTATGATAATAATAATAATAATAATAATAATAATAATAATAATAATATTGTTCTTATCATTGTTGTTATTGAGACATTATTGCTTACTCATGCAACATTTAGGCAAAAGTATACTGCTTTTATAGCCACTGAGTCTACTGGATATAATTCCTTTCAATTTTATTATCAAACGTCAAATAAGCAAATAGTGGAATAATTGTTCTAGTTGACCTTAATTAACTGAAAAACGTTACTTCAAGCACAAAGACAGGTCAAAATGTTCTTCAAGAGTAGTGCAAGGGATTTGAATGAACCTATTGAGTAAATGCCAGTAACTAATGTTATCATAAATTCTCCCTAGCATGCATATATATATATATATATATATATATATATATATATATATATATATATATATATATATATATAGGTTGCAGAATTATGTTCCCAAAATTTACTATCATTTGATCAATGAACCTGTCTTACGATGTCGATTGTGACGAAAGTTACACTTATGCTACGTGAGCGAACTATCTCTATGACAATTTTACTCAAGTGATCATTCAACAACCTTTTCACCCATTTTTTATCGGCTCAGCTATTCTTCCAAATAAGTAACCATAAGGCCTTAGTTTTTTTGTAATATCCTGATTAGGTCTACATTGCCTGATGAAAAAGGCAGAGCTTTCACTTACGCAAACCAAACACAAGTAAAACGTCTACTTTTTATCAAATCAATAAAAAATACTTACTCTTGCCAAACGAATCTCAAGAGCTTGTTTTAAGTCTTCTATACACATCATGGCATCTAATAGGTCGGATTCCAAGCGATTGCGAGCCTGTAGAACGGATAAAGTACGAAATAAACGATAGCCAATGAAATTTCTAAAATCATCAGTCTTCATTTTTTATAACCAGCAACAGTCAACAACATGAGAATGTACAAGAAAAGTATTTGTATTAAACGGAAGCTGTCTTGTAACTCAATAGATGAAGCCACTTTTACACAGTAGATTTCTACAAAAAATAATTAATGACCTAGGGACGCAAATTTTCTAATGTGAATTATTTGTATCTACAAAATAGGGGAACGCGCACAATGTCGTTGATCTTATACAGATTGTCTAGCTAATAATTGTGCATGGATATGATTGTCTTATACTTCGGTTGAAAAATGAAGCAAACAATTCGGTATTACTATGAGATCCGCAGATAAACAAATCCATTAGATTTGCGTGAACTATTAATATTGTCAACCAACGATATGCACGCAGTTTGTAGACGATAATGACATGATTTCTTGAACGATACTAAAGTTCCGTAATTCGAAGAACTATTCTAAAAACGCACCAATATACCTTATATCCATAGAGTTATAAGGTGTCAAAATCGTATAAGTACCAGTGTTGTTTTTGACATGTAAGTGTCGCCTATAGAACACTCTAACTAGAGAGTGTGTAATAACTTTGCTTCATTGTATACAAATTTTTTATGCTTAGTATTGTTAAACATGAATTCTGGCACAGCTAGGCAGTGACCAAAGGTATTCAACCCATAAATGAAGAAGAATACAGAATAAAAGGATGATAGAGCACTGAAATTATCAAAACCTGAGATTTTCAGCTAACCGCATTATGAAAATGAGTAAAATAAGTGTTCAGCAGCGTTCTTAAGCAGTTAACTATATAGCTGGTGTTTTATGATCTACACTGTCACGAAAACGTTTCACTGACTTCAGTACTAATCTCTCCTTATTAATGGTTGATAAAAACATTGTCTGGTTTTAAAAAGCCCCGCTTGTGATCAATATTATGAAGAAAATTCAAATTCTTAAGCATAAGGTGTATGAACTTAATGTAGCTATGTAATAAAATCAAAACATACAGAGAGAAACAGAAATATCTATCAAATTAAACACGTAGTTTTCCAAATAAACGCTTAATTAAACCTGTATCTGTATGTAGCTAGTTTTAAATATACTTGTTCCTTAGGGCACCATGAATTTAGGAATTGTAAAGCTGTTTAGAGTAAGACATTTAAGTTACAGTTACAGGTTAATTTGCTAAACCCCTTACTCCGCACTTTGTTACCCATTTTACTCCTAACTACAGTAAACAGAATTATCAGAATAATAGATTTAATAGATTTCATGGATTATATGTCCAATCAAACAACATATTTACAAAGCAAAGTTCAATATTGCTTCTTTTTAATTAGTATTTTTAATTACAACCCATACTCTTGTGAAATTTATTCGAGATGAAACCGCTAGATTTGGTGAAGCATTTGATCTTCCTATATTTTTATAAACCGTCTGAAGCTGAATTCGAAACGAATATTATCTCTATTTTAAATGGTTGTTATTAAAATGACTGCTCTTTTAAACTTGTTTTTGATTTTTTTGCCTTACGTTACTAAAGTAAAGAACTAGTTTTCACTTCCAAAAAACCACTTATGTTAGGTGTCAAATCACTTCATACTAACCAATCCATCAATATTTTTTGAGATGTTATGTTTGCTAAAACCTCCTTCATATTTCAAGCACGTGGTTTAATGTCTTGAACCATGCAATCATTCACTACTTTTGTACAATTTTCATAAAACAACCGCACAAAGTACTCAGCTTTACCTTCTATTTATCATGAATGCAACACAGTATACTTAAATAATGCAACTGAAATAAAACCTCATATTCAGACATGATTTTGGGTCCAGTTATTGGAGTTGCCATGTTCCAGGAGTTTTCATTATGAAATCTCTTAATAAGCACACAAAGAAACTAGTATTCCACCGTTATAAATTGCGATTTCATTATAGAAAGGAGTGTTTATTGGTCCAGGGATCTTTTTTCACTTAAAATATATTTGTAGTCTAATGGTTTATAAGGTGATTGTTGTAGATGGCTTTTGTAGACTGCGAAACTTTTGACTAAATATTTATACAGTTCAGCTGCGTTTATAACTTACAGCTACCTGACTAGTGGTAGTCAACCCAGCACATTTTTTGTCTATTCAAGTTCACTGAGCATCAGAAAATGTCCAGGAAAAGTACTTTAATAATTATGATGAACACTTTTTTATACCTTACTACTTTGTTTTTGATATACTTAACATACCGTAGCGACACTTGGATTTAAAAGGCTATGAAAAAGCATTTAATATTTGGTGATATAAGTGCATAATCCCTTGAAATCCGATGGCAGCTTACCATTCATTCAGTGCCTCAATTTGATTTGACGATTTATAACTATTCGTCTTTACTACCGTTTGGATGTTAACTGCCTGTTTTCAGTTTCTTATATTCCAGACAAAAAATCTTGTAAGTTATCAGCTGAAGTCTATTAAAACCTATTACTTCACATAACTTCATATAGAGTATAATTTTATTAGCCATAAGCAGAAAGATGCAACACTTAAGACTGATCAGTGTTACATCTAGATGAATTCGACTGCATCTGATTTATTATTATACATTAAAACTCCAAAGATAAGAGCGCTGAATCCTCTACACTAAAGAGTTCAATTTTGTATATTGTTTATGGTTTTTGATTTATACTCGTAAATTCTTTCAAGAAAAGAGCAAAGGAAAGGCAAATAAGAAGTACCACATCAATAAAAAGCGAATGCGAAAGGATAGGATTTTTTGTGGGTCAGTATCAATGTCATCTGAGAATAATCCTACAGTAAAGATGTAGCAAATGAGTACGATACTGAGAGTTTTAAAACCATAAGCAAGCATGAAACATCTTCAAAATTAGTAGGGTTTCGAGACTTGTAAACGATCTCCTGAAATGCCCAACAAAGGCTTAAATAAACCAAATGGTATAAACTAACTTATATTGAATATAATTTCATGAAAAAAACTTAATGTGTTTATATTTCAGACCTACAAAACGCGAAAAATCCTACCATCTCATTATTCTTGGTCATTATGGACAGGAACCTCTCCAATCGTAGCTTTTCGCTCATGAGTAATCTGTAGTTATTCATGATCTCTTGCTTCGACATCTATTATGATTAAAAATATACTGAAATTTTAAATACTACATTTTCGTAGTTTTTGGCTATTAATGACCACCGTTTGTCCATACTTTCATCATTTAGAACTTCCTTTACTTTTTCCTCCTGAACAATGCATTTTATTTGCATATATCACATACTTCGTTAGAACATTTCACAAGTGGAGCGTTGGTATCAAGAGCAGTAGGTTCCTAAAAATGATGCAAAACTGCAAGAACATACCGTTGACTTAGCACGACGTGACTTTTTGACCGTGTAAGCAGCCAAAGCTTCTCCTCCCAATGGTCTTCGAGAAATATCTGGACTCCTGAATCTTTCCTGACTCTGTACATTTGTTAACTTATGATGGCAATTTACTTGTCGTAATGGGGCCAATGGTTCACACGTTAAGTCCATTACATGAGAGTTTTTATACAATTCGCATGTAGAATTAGGAGATGTGCGCTCAATATGTAAATGTTGAGTCAAGCATGACCTAACGAAAGAAAATGGAAGTTTCGAACAATCGCCATAAAAATGAAAGTTAGAGCACAACTAAATAACTTCAACAGTTACATTCATTTTCCAATGCATCAATTCAATATCCAGTAATCCATGAAGATCTACTGTAAGAATTTAAAAGACTCAATCTTATCTCCTTTCTCGTTTTATCTGGTATATCGTAAAAGTATCTGTGTTCAATACTCGAAGGACATGAATTTCACTAGAAACGCCGGTCCATGTTTTGCAACCGTCAGGGATTCAAAAGTAATCTTGATATGTAAGCAGCAGATACCAGTTTCCTATTTAGACACAATACCAGTTAAAGCCTTTGAATGTGTTCTTGGACGTTTTGTTTCAGTTGAGACTGTTAATCCGAGCTTTTCCTAAGTACTTTAAGGTTTTTCGTCGGGTTTAAGGCCACGTAAAGAAATGGAATGTTTAAGTATGGCAACAATGTACCGGCGCAGCTAATAATGGCAATGGATATTCACTGAAATTTTATCACCATCAGCTGGCTATCGAGACAGACATCTTGATTCGCGAATGGTGATATTCGTCGATAAAGATTGGCTAGAACCATTTTTGTTATGACGGGATGAGTTAATTCCGTTTAATTCAATTTGATGACCACTCAGTATAGTATTTTTCTCGTTTACCCCCTAAGACATTTCATTCTGTATAACGTACGATATTCTTATATCAAATATTTTTCATATATGTGATTTATTCTGATTATTAATCAAAAATGGGTGTACAAAGCAATACATAAATACGTGTATTTCCGACCGGACTGGTCGTGGTTGCTTGTTCTTCTGGCTGCTAGCGGAATATATTTCCCTGTTTCGAACTTGAACTTTTCACTCTAGTCAGCGGGGCTGGGACTGATCAGAAAAGCTAGCCTATTGGTCTTTGACCATAGAGTCTTTGTTCCATTCCCGGACAAGGTGAACTCACGATCGCTTCGAACACTGGATTGTTGTAGACTTTTCAGCAGCTAGCTGGTTTTTCTAATCACCATGACCTCGGTAACACCCTTTTTATATGATTTTGTAAAATGTGTTTATGTAATGGGTAATCCCTTTTTCTACAGGTTTTGAGAAACAGTAACCTTCATCCTCTATTGTTATTGGCGATTTCAATAGAGTTTTTAGTAATTTTTTGTCTTAGACGCGTCTATTGTTAATCATTCAAAGTGCTATAACCTTTTCCTTAATTTATCACCATTTTTGAACATGTCCATCCCAGTGCGGGGCTTACGTATACTGATCTTAATATTACCCAGTCATCTTCGACTACATCTTTGTTATCTGACTGTCGATTAGATGAACATTCTGTTTGCAGTATGATATCGGGCCGTTGACAATGAGGTACTGTTTGACTGAACTCAAATTACATCATCGATAGACGGTCCCTTGCACCCCTAATAGTATTTGTTGCTCGATTTGATTCTTTCGGAAAGGCTTTACCAACAGTTTGTTGAAAATATTACTCATGGTCCGCAGGAGTTTAACAATCTTACCGAGTAGTTGTAGTTTCTTGTATAGTATGTTATTTTGTATAGGAGAAACACAAACTACGTGGTGGTCAAATAACGCTGCTGTAATGTTTAGTGTTCGTCAATCATATTTACTATCATCAGGTCGTACTATGGGAATGATGCGTAGAATTAATGTTCAGGTGTTATCGTCAGATATAACACGAAAAATGTTCATGCACCATAAAGTACAGCATAGAACACCCAAAAGGCGACTAAATGTTTAATCAGTAACAACTGACACCATTGCTTCCCGGTCACCATGTTTCTTCGACGTTGAGAAAGACTGTACGATTTTTGAGTTCTAGCATGTTTGATACCCTTTTCATCACGCTATCCATTTTACCGAAAAATGTACCTCATCATCATCAATGTTTTAAACTTTGGCATCTGTCAGTTTGAGCTCGAGACCCGGGGTGACGTTATCTTTGTCTTGACGGTCGTATTGAAGATTGTGACTTTGATACTTGCTGACAGTTGTTTTGGGTTCCACATGTTCTTTAACTGTAGGAATACTGCTCATTCTTTGCCAATACTTGCCTTTACATTTGCATTGGATTCTTCCTGTTCGTGGGTAATGCTGACAAGGTACGTGAAAGTTTCCGCCTCTCCCGGAACTTCTTCAGGCGTGATTTTGTTGATGCTCTCAGTATTGTATTTCAGGTACTTGCTTTTTTTCCTTGTGAATTCTGAAGCCTACTGATGAAGAGGCCGTTGCTTCATTGATTGTTTTCACATGCACTTATTACTGTATATGGGATAGAAGAGTCAAGTCCACTGAGACGTCCGAATTGTTTAGCCTCATCCAAGTTGCTCAATGTATTCCATGTTTCCGTCAGGTGTGGAGGTCTTATCTAACACCGGTCTTCACATGAAATTATCTGTCAAATATCTTCCATCAATATTTTGCAGTCTAGCCCACCGCAAGTGCTTAGCATGACTATGACGATCTTTTCAACTACACCATAGTTTCGAAAAAGGTTTCGCAAAATTTCCCTATCCACCCTGTTGAGTGCTTCCTTATTATCAAGGGAGTTGATGTACAATGACGAGCAACACTCAACTGATTACTCAACAGTGATTCGTAGTGTCTCCATTTGGCTAGTTCATTATCAATCCTTACGACTGTTTATCTGTTTGCCAGGAAGTTAAGCATTTAATGAATCTCCCATCCTGTAAAAAAGTCTGATGAAACTATTTCCATGTTAGGATAGCAGCGTGATGCCTCTACATTCTTTACATTCCTTGAAATCTCTTTACTTTGGCACTTTAATAAAGTACCTTTACTTTCAATCCGTTAGCATCTGTTTTTCCTGGCAAGTCTTTCTAAACAGTAAGTGAAAAATCTTTGCGGTCACTCCTGTGATCAGCTTTAGGGCTTTGGCTATTATATTATTTCATTATTTTGCATTCCCGCTCTAAATTTTTCTGACAGTCATGCTAATTCATACTATTGTCTGTAAAGTATAACCCTCAGAATGTCTAATGTGTCCGCCTCAATTTTCGATGGGTTCACTGAGGCTGGTTTACTTATGAGCTCTTCAAATCTCCACACTCACCTGTCTGATTGTTCTTAAACCCTAGTGACCGGTTTGTCTTCTTCGTTTTCGACTTGTCGCTGTGGTTTATTACATTTTCCTTTTGGTGCATTTGCTGTCATTTATAGTCTTATATTCCCTATTCTGTAAGCTTTTACAACTTTCTCTGCTGGGTATTACACATATTTCTAATTTTTCTTGTAAATCACCAGCGTAGATGATCTGTGTCGAATGATTGGAGGCCTAATCGAGTTAAACGGCAGTGGTGTTTCGAACCAGCTAACGTCGAAGACACACTACGTGGTCAGCACCTTACGTGGGCTACCTCACTGACATATCAAAGTACTATAGATGCTTTGAAGACTGTACAACACGAAGGACGTTATTACATAAATATACTGGTTAAAGTAAACACAAGCGAAAGTAAGACCACCGCCGCATGGGTCAGTTCATGGCGTACAATTATCTGATGCGTGTTGGTCGTGATCGATGATCGGCTCGATATTCAATGACCTAACTGCCGGATGCTTCGGCGAGGGGTCAGTAACATTTCACTGCCTCTACACACTCTTCATTCTCTTGTTCAATTCCATGGATTAGGCTCGTGCTCTTTTTCGGTTGTTTTTGATTGTCGCCTTCAAATCTTCTATTTTTTGAATCTTGCCTAGGGTATCAATGAAGAACCATTCTTTATTTTGGTGCTTTTATAACTCAAAGCCTTATGATTAGTTGAATTTTTCGCTTCTTTGATCCCTTCCTAGTTGTTCTCCATAGTAGTTTCCTTTTCCTTGAGTAGAATTTGTAGGACATGAGTCTAACTGCTGGGAACTATCTCGAACGTGTAGAGTCTTTCAGCATCTTGAAATAGGGTTATAATAAACTTTGTTAGTGTTCCTTGTTTGACTCTTTTTTAGCTCCAGTTTCAGCTTGGCCACCGCCAGATGGTGATCCGAAGCTGTGCTAGCTCACCGACTTGCTCATATGTCTCCTATAGACCCTTTGAACACTGTTGACGCAGATGTGGTCGATCGTGTCCTCAGTAGTGTCTCCCATTGAAACCAATGGAGCTTTGTTCAAGACTACATCATACTACGGAATAAATAAATAACAATAATAAAAGATCAAGCCAAAAGTGGTTGTGAGTATGAGATACTGTAACTAATAAATTGGGAATAACTTAAGAATAGTATATCGTATAATAGTTGTCAATAGATTAAACGGAAGATTAAAGTAAAAGGAATTTGGATACACATATAACATATCTACACAACTGGTATACAGCACGAATATATATATAATAAAAACCCATAAACAGATCTTAGCAGTTAACGTTCACATATTATTCAGCCCGATATAACCCACTGCACTAGATTTACATATTCAAACAACTTCATCACTTTCTTTTGCGCACTTTTGGTATTTCGAATTATTTGAATCGTAGCATAAACTAAGAATCCCCGAAATAAGGCAATTGAATCAAGAAGTACTAGATGAGCGCAAACGAATATATTGTATTTAGAATTCGAAATCAAGCATTCAACAAGTACAAAAGAATCACTAGTTAATTCAACCACCACTTTCGCCACAGCTTAAATTGGAATATAATTGTCTGTAATAGGTTGTACGTCTCCTTCTTAAGTTCATCCTGAGTCTGTCGGACATTGTATCGGATAAAAACTCTGTATTATCTAGAATACACTCATTAGTATCAGAATTAACGACTGAAATCGAAACAGACTCACCTTGGTCCTGAAATTGTATACAATCAGCATGTCGATTTTGTAATGAAATCATTAATATCTAGAATTTGAACCATGGATTTTTCAACACTAGCCTCCACCACGAAATTATGTTGGATCTTTATATCTCTAAGTTATGAATAATGTGGCTTCATTTAAAACATATTTCTCACATTGATTAGAGTATACATTGAAAGTGGATTTGTGATAAAGATGAACAGCAGTTGATATGAAATCATCCGAATT